ATCGATCGGGGGGGGGGGAGCGGCGGTTGACTTGATGATTCGATTATCCCCTCCGTCCTGATGGCAGGAGCGTGATCCCCCCCAAGGAACTATCATGCGACTGGTCCTATTCCAATCGGTACGAATAAAGCACTACCAAGAAGCAAATACGCCCTCCTATCTCGCTTTACAAGTAGGGTATTACTAGGTGTTCTTCTATGTTTGCAGGCAGTTATTGTTAAGCTTATTTATGAATTCGTTAAGCCTGTAATGGAACGGGCGAAGCCAGGTCAGTTTCCGTTTATGAGCGGTCAGGAGGGAGCCACAAACAGTGCTACAGATGGAGGCAACACAGAGGCAGCAGTAGCCGCAGCAACGGCAACAAACACAAGAACCACAGCGACACCACAATTTTCTGAAACTTGGCTTTAAATCCCCCAAGAACGGCCGTTGAGGTTCCAGGCAGCACCGACCGAGAAGGACACCAAGGGCTTCGAGGTGGTAGTAGAGGGATACAGGGACTCACGCCTTGTGAAACACGTGACTGCAGCTGAGGATGACCTCGCTCTCTCCTTGAAACGACTCCCGGCAGATGGGGCACGGCGCCGCCTCGTCTCCCCTTGCCAGGGCCTTGGCTTCCACGGCTCTGGCCAGGGGGAAGAGCACAGGGAGCGCGCGCGGTCAATCGCAGAGCGTGCAACAACGTGTTCGCCCTCGTGCAAAGGTGACACAGGAACTCCTGAGAGACGCCCTCACTCCTCTACACAGTCACGCGGGCTTCAATGTGCTGAAACTGCGGCGTGGGGGCGAGGGGGGGTAGGAGGGTCGGTGACGAGAAGAACAGAGACACCGACGCGTTGGAGGGCTCATAGTCGCCAAAATGTTCGGTCGGTCGTCTTCTCCCTCGCGACAACACCTCGGGTGTCACAACGACCAACAGGGGAAAATGCTCGACAACCAAATGTCCAACTGGTACGCAGAACTTGAGAACTACCGCCGTCGTACCTCCACTCTCCAGGAGTAAGCGTGGGCTCGGGTGGTTTTTCCAGCCCCCGGATCTGTGCCAACGTCACAGCAACTCTCCGCGGCTGGTGTTGCTTTTCGTCCTCGTGCACTCCTTCGTCGTAACTGTTGCGGCCGTCACTACCCAGGCCGCCAACACCTCGATCCTCCCCACTGAGCAACCGCCACCGTCGCCTGGGTTGGACACACACCGAGCAGTGTTGGCCTGCTTCCTCCGCGATGCCGTGTCCTTGTCCCGGGTGTGTATCGTCATCCATGGCGTCATTTTGGGCCGAGCAAGCATGACAAGTCCAAGCGGCAGTCCGGCCGCCGCCGCTGCTGATTCCGTCTCCGCTGGATTTCCTGACGGTCCGTCCAGTTTCAGCTGCCGTTGGGTTAGCATAAGGGCTATCTTCGGATGGCCCGAATACGGCTCCGAGCGCCGGTTCGACTGCTTGATTCCTGCGCCTTCTTCGCACCCCGTCCCTCCGTGCTCCACCAAGACCGCCGTCGCCACCGCGGAGGCCACGGCCACCGCTCCGGTCGCTCAGAAATACGACCGCTTGAGATTGATGGCCCCCGAGCTCTAGCTTCATGGACCGCATGAGCCTGCCCTGCAGAGCCGCCGCGTCAAGAACTTGCTCCGATATCACTGCCGCTGCAGCTCGGCGTTGATGATGATGCTGTCGACGAGGAGGGTGGTTATTTTGCAGCAGCGCTCGGCTCGTCCTTGATGCTGCAGCGGCTGCGGGGGGGGGTTGTGGTTTACCGGAATGTACGGAACCTATGCTGGACCACCGTTGATCTGTGAACTTCTTGGGGTATCGAGATCCCAGATATTGAAGCTTAGCCTCGCTGCTGGGTGCGACTTCCGTGGACCCGCTCGCTGGTGCTGTTACTAGCCGCGATGACGTCATGCTTGGGTTGCTTGCGTGTGGTATCATCGAAGCTTGATTTGTGTTTCTACTGCCACCAAGAAGAGAAGACCGCTTGCCGCGTCCGGGTCGCATGTTCGACTCTCGCTCTCGATCTCTCCCCCGGTGTTCTTTGTCCGTTGGCGGGACTGTCAGATTTCACATGTGCGTTGCGGCGTAACGTGAGACGCGTGCCCAGCTACAATGCTACAATACCGCAACTACTACCAGAGACAACCAGCGGTAGACCTTCACCTCCGGTGGTGCACCTTCACAAGCTTATGCAAGGATAGGTCACATCCACATTCACGCCATCTCTCTCGCGTGCGTGTATTTCGAGGGATCGTGGAAGCGGGAAAATCCGTTACAGATTACAGGGTCCTCTGCATACCTATTCCGCCGCGTTTTTGGATTTCCGCCGCGTACACAGAGATCTGGCTCTTGCTCCCACACATATGCGAACGCAAAGCAGTGCAGCAATAACACTACTACCGACCGCGTAGAAGAAAGGTTCTGGACGCATCCCGCTGCAAGCCACACAGACACGGCTGCTAGCTCTCGTACTTCCTGGGGTTCACCAAACAGGATATCACACGCGTCTACAGGGGGCTCGGGAACAATGACCTCGACAAATGCTCCTACAACGTTGTTTCCCAAGCCGGTTGGGTTCTCGGTAGAGTACTTCGACCCCGTCGCGAAGTCACTCAGGAGTTTCGTGCTCACCGTCTTTCCGGACAGAAAGGTTCAGATGGTGAGTGGAGGCCAAGGTGGCACAGGGTGCCCTACGGTATCATGTGCAGAGTGTGCAGAGGGTCCGAGGCGCCTCCAGAACACCTGACGCGTGCCTGGCGCCCGTGATACACTCTCAAGGTTTTCTGAACGTCAGTAGAGTGGACAATGCCACGGGGCAAGGATTTTAGGCGGCAGCGTGTCTTACGTTTTGTCCGCACAATAATAATATTATGTTTTGCCGTCGACAGCGCATGCACATTTGGCAATAAAAGAACATCTGGTGCTTGACGTATGTTGGAACACGAGCGATTGTAGGAGGTTAGGTTTACAATACCCTCCACACCCCATGCCATTGAGCTCTCTATTACAGTTCGTTCATAGATCGACATCATTATTTGATCTGAAAGACGGGTGTTACAGTGCTGCTGGTGCCATTTGCTCTCGGCGCCTTTACAATACAGGTGTGCGGCAACAAGACGTTTCTTTCCAAGACTTACGCCAAAGATCTCTTCACAACCGACCTCTACATCGGGGGCACCGTCGTTTTGTGAGCTCTACTTGCGCACGGTTCATGTTGATGTGCTCTGTTCTACGGATGATGAAACTCACTCGTTTTCTTCCCTCTCTTTCGTCTTAAAGGACACCACCATCCCGAAAGAACAACGAAATGTTCGCTGATCCTTTTTCATCACCCGCCTCGAGCAATACTTCTTCCAATCTCGAAACGAAATGTCTGTGTGCCCAAATGCTGGTCTCCCCGGCCGCCTAGGTTCAAAACTCGTAAACCAACGCGGCTAGCTTTCGAATTCGAAGCCTAGCGAGGCGTGCTCTTCCTCATTTGCGCGCGTAGTACTTACTTTACCTTAGAGGGCTCTATTGCTCGGGAGTGAGAGTACATGAAGGGATTTAGTCCTAAACCTTATCTCCTGGACAAACGAATGCACTTTGTGTGCACCTTCTGTGTGCACTTTGTGTGCTGCCGTGCCGTTGATGTGAACCGTCAACCAAACAAGAAGGGCCTCTTTCCTTTCAGGCAAACCACACCACCGAGTTGCACCTTACCAATACTTCTAGTCTACCGTTATTAAAAATACGATACGAAAATACACAACAGGTTCTCGCGCGAGCTTAGCATCGTCGACTACGCGGACGAGAGCACCCGAAAGTACTACGAATTAACTCAAACAAGAGGGTTCGTCGTGGTTCTCCCTTCCACGATCCGATATCTCGGCGATGTGAGTGACGAAGCCCGCAGCGTATGTCATCTTGGCCGTGTCTTCTTTGGGGGTGGGTACTCGTGCGGTGGACTCGGGAGGCAAACATTCAACAGAGGGATCATTTTTGTTTTGTCTGCTGCTTTGAGCGTCCGTTATGACGGTCGGAGATGTTACAATGGCATTGAGAGGTTGCTTGATGAGCAGAAGAACTGTCATGGTTTTCGTTCCTCCCCGGTCGCCAACCAGCAACTGCGTCATTTACCCGTCGGTGCACGTTTACCAGTTCCACCCCCCCCCGACTGGCTACACCCCCCCCCATTCGATGATTGCCCTGGTTCCCCAAAACCGTTCTCCCCTCCGCACGCTTGGCGGAAGGTTATCTCTTGTCTCCAAAAGGGCGGCGGTAACCGGCGGGGTCCCTCCGTTATCAGCAACGCCAAGATGTTCCGCCTGGAAGGGAGAGAGAAACGCCGATCAGAACTCCCGGTGCCAGACATCGACATGCCTCAGGTGATCAGGAAATATACGAAGCAAGCGTGACGTTCGGATGAGGTCCACGACGAAGCGAGAAAATCCAAACGAACGGTGAAAAAAGGCGCAGGAAGAAGGTCAGGTATGGTATGTGGAGGGATTCGCGGGATAGGGGCTAAGACTAAATTTGACAGGTGGGCGATACCATACCCACCACCACCACTGTCGTCACTCACAGCAACAACTCTGTACTCCACAGAACTGTCGCCACCCAAGCAACAACTTTGTATTCCACAGAATCACCTGTGTATTCGAAAGGAAGACAAGACCACACCTGCCAATACAAAGGCTAACCCATTTGGCCACTCAGTGAGCGGCTGATTGAGTGGTCTGATTGGCTAAGCCTCTGTATAAACAGATTCCCAACACCATCGAACCGCAATATTATCGACCGAAGCACAAGCACTTTCGATGCTCTCCGGCATAGTTTCACCAAAATGACATTTGTTCGATATCCCACTGGCGTCGTTCGATTGGAAGAGGGCCGGCCATTGCAGAACTGCGAGACCAAGACAGAGTTCTGCCGCCTCCATGGCCGGACAGTATTTTCGTGCAATACCAATACCAGGGTCCAATAGTTTACGTTTCTAGTGACGCGTGCTGACTTTCTCTTCAAGAGTAAGAACGCTCGGCAGTCACCACAAAATAGATCAATTCAACCTGACACTTCCCCGATCTCTACACTTGTTGCAATCCTCTTGTTGTGGACCGGACACACACCTCAGTCTGGCGCTGCTGTGGCGCTGGAGGTGATCCTGGATTCTCGGGATCGGGGTTTCGAGAGACTACTAGGCGTTGTAGAAAGGTGGCGCGAGCGCGAGGGGGGAGTCTTCGCGTCCAGCACGCCCGCCCAGGCGAGACAACGTTTTTGGTTCTTCTACGTACGGGCGCAGACATACGCCGGGACTTCTTGCCACCGCAAAACAAAACCTTGATAGTCTGTTCCAGACACCCCTCGTCTGCTTGTTTCTATCCGTAAGGCAGCGATGGGAATCTTGCAAGTAGGGCTCGGCTTCTGGTGTTGTTGGGTGGTTGATTTAATACAGCAACAACAACATCAGTAGTTGTGGGCATGCTACACGTTCTTGGTGCTGAATACGCCCTCCTTTCCGAAACGCCCCATACAGGCGGCGGAGAACGCACGCCAAATGTTCCAGGGCAACGGAGGCGGCGTCGAGCAGCAGCCGGCCGACGACAACGGCGAGCGAGCGTGCACGCTGTGCGTCGTGAAACCACACATCGTGCGAGACGGAAAGCTGGGCGACCTCCTTTCCTTGGTGTCCGAACGAGGCTTCGAGGTGAGTGGGCAAGGGGACTGGGGGGAATTAGCGGGCGGGGGGGGAGGGAGGGGG